CGCGGCAAATGTGACGTCATCGCCGTGTTTGCGGAGGTTCACTTTGGATGCGCGCGACATGATTTCGGGTGAACAGTTCGCGCGGCGCCGCGCTTGATTTGAGTTGAATTTGAATCACTTTGAAGAGATTTTGTCTGTAACAGTACGACTGTATGCGTGGACGAAGAGATAACCAGATGACCGATAATTCTTGGCTAGAAATTGCAACAGCCATGGAAAGGAAGTGTTTTGTTAAAGTTTGGAAAAACCTGGGGGATAAGTTTGTTACAACAAAAAAGAGGCCATGGCAAAAGTGGAGACCCAGGTGGTTTTAAGATTACAGAATATGTTTTTCCACCATTTATAGGTTTTACACTGATGGATCATTTTGAAGTTAAAGCAATGTAACAAAAATTAAGTAACAAATTAAGTATTTGATAACTGGAAAATAATATATGAACCCATCAGCTTACAGTATACTGAAGCCCAATTTCTAGGCTTTATTGGTGATGATGGACAGGATTGTTGGACCATTATTGCCTTTTCAACTCATTAGTAGAGGACAGAAACTAGCCAGACAATAATGTGTCAATTGTTGAGTGGGCAAAAAAAAATTTTTTTTGCTATTATTCTTGCCAGAATAAAAAATATAATTGTAGAGTAACCCATGTTCTGTTGTCATTGATATTTAACTTTAACAGGTAGAACTGTCCGTGATATAAACTAAAGTGAGTGATGCATCAAACTTTGATTTAAAAAATCTTGAAAAGTTATAAAACTTTATAATCATTCATTAATTTTCTTTTTGGCTTAGTTCCTTTATTAATCTGGGGTCGCCGCAGCGGAATGAACCGCCAATTTATCCCGCATATGTTTTACACAGCGGATGCCCTTCCAGCTGCAACCCGTTCTCATTTACAACAACAGACAATTTAGCTTACCTAATTCACCTAAAATGCATGTGTTTGGACTGTGGGGAAAACCGGAGCATCTTGAGCAAACCCATGCAAACACGGGGAGAACATGCAAACTCCACACAGAAATGCCAACTGACCCTGCCAAGGCTTGAATCAGCGACCTTTTTGCCTTGAGTCGAGAGCGCTACCCACTGCCCCACCCCGTCACCCAACTTTGTAATCATAATAAATTATAAAAATAATGAAAAATAATTATTTTTAAAATCTTGAACAATATTAAAGATATGACGTAGTCTTAAAAAGTCTTAAATTTGACATTATGATATCTGCAGAAACCCTTTTTTTTTTTTTACAAGACTTCAGTCTATAATCTGAAAAAAAAAACATTATGGTAAGAAGACAACTTAATTTGTGTGATATTTAATTTATTAATAATATGTTTAGGCACTAGGCAGTGTTGTTTTGTGGTTTCTGACGGTTCAGTTCGCGAATTAGGTAATTAACAAAGTTTCTCCATAATTTGCAAGAGTTTTTTTTTTATATATAAAATCATCTATTGATCGTACAGATAAAAGAGGCATCATTTGAAATGATAAAAAGTCGTGCATTTGTGCATATTTCTGTTATCTTTATACTCAAAATAGCAAAACATTGTTTTTGTAAAATAATCATGGTGCGCAGTGGGTATCGCTATCGCCTCAAAGCAAAAAGTTTGTTGGTTGAAGCCCTGTCTGAGTCAGTTGGTGTTTCTGTGTGGAGTTTGCATGTTCTCCCCATGTTGGCATGGGTTTCCTCTATAGGTGCTCTATAATTATAATCTATAATTAATGCTGTTTACACAGTTTAAAAAGTGTTTATAGTATCTTTAGATGTGTTATGTAAAATGTGTTTTACTGCCTGGATCTTGTCTGACTCCGGATTTATGGATAATTCCACCAATACCGCCAAGCTAAAAAAGTAATTTGTAATTTTGTAATTTGAGTAGTTTTTACGAAGAGTAATTTGTACTTTTACTTGAGTACTTTTTAACACCAGTACTTTTACTTGTAATTGAGTACAATTTCAGCAATGTAACAGTACTTGTAATTGAGTACAATTTTTTTGTACTCTTACCACCACTGCTACCAACTGAGCTAGCCAGGGTGGTGAGCACCTTGTTCAAGAGCTAGACACTCTTTACATCAATACCTTCCCTACCCATACAAATTTTCTGCCACATCCTGATTTCATCTTGTAACGCTGGACAGAATGTGGCCCAGGATCTATGCCCAGTGCACATGTTAGCAGTTGCAAGGCAGCAAAACGCTTAACTCATCGCTGGATGGGCTTGAACCACAAACCTGTCAGTAAAGAGCCGAACTCGCTAACCAATTGCGCCACAGAGACTTAGTAAAAGGTCTCCTACAGTGGTAGAAATGCTGAACTTTGTCTCTAAAGGTCTGCTACATGAACCCAAATGAAAGTTTGCTGAAAGAGAGACAAAAAGGTCACAAAAACGCCCAACGTGGGGCTCGAACCCACGACCCTGAGATTAAGAGTCTCATGCTCTACCGATTGAGCTAGCCAGGCTGGTAAGAACTTTGTTCACGAGCTAGTTAGCGTTTACATCAATACCTTCCCTACCCATGAAAATCTTCTGCTTAATCCTTATTTCATCTTGCAACGCTGGACAGAATATGGCTCATGATGTATGCCCAGTGCACGTGTTAGCAGTTGCAAGGCAGCAAAATGCTTAACTCCTCCCTGGGTGGGCTTGAACCACCAACCTTTCAGTTAACAGCAAAACGTACTAACCGATTGCGCCACAGAGACTTAGTGAAAGGTCTCCTACAGTGGGAGAAACGCTGAACTTTGTCCACCAGGTGGCTCTGTTGTGCGTAATTTTTACACATTTTTGTATCTAGTTAAGTCTGGTTTCTAGTGATAAAGAAATTTTCATTTTGTTGTAACTGTAGAGGAAAAAAGTGTTTTCCTATACATTTTAAATTGATAATTTCTCAAAGTGTAAAATTATAAGAGATTATGTGTGTAATTGTGTATAAATTGTCAAATTTACCAAATGTAATTACATAAATTATTAAGAAAATAATTCATTCGACCTCACAATGCTGCTCTGTATTGATGAGGGGGTGGAATGTGCAGTAAAGCCAAAAGACAACGTGTTTGTGTTTAATTGTCTTCTGCAGAACTAAATAAAGTGGAGGAAAGCAGCGCTTGGTGTCATTTGAAGTTATTGAGTGAAAAGCAGATCAGTTACAAATGGTAATACACAGGTCTGTGCTTATAAACATAATGTACTGCTGTACAGTAACGTGTCATTTGTTTGTTTCTGTTGTCTTCATTTAATTGGTTTTTAATTTGTTTTTGATTCGTGGGTCTTTCTGGGGACGCACTGCGACTACTAGCCCGACAGTGGAAACGCAACATAATTTTGGCCTCATTACTCATCTCCCGGGCGATTGGCCCGGCCCGATAAAAGCCCTGGCTCGCACTGGCCCGATAGTGGAAATGCAGCTACTGGCACTTCCCTGCCAACACTTCAAGAACTGTACTCTTCCAGAGCGAGTAAAAGGGCTCGCAAAATCACCCTGGATGCCTCATTTGATGTTTGATAAGTAAATTAATAAACAATTCGGAAGTGTGGAATGTGCACAAATATGGTTATCGGTTCATAATAGGTTGAAACACATTGTTAGATTTTGCTGTATTTGGCTTAACCGTTCTTGGACGGCTTGTCAATGTATAGAATGTTACATGTTGGTTTCATTTGAGGATTGAACCCAGTTTCTTGGACTCAAAGCTGGGGCTTTTCCCAGCTGAGCTAACTCCTCAACATATGAACCCAAGAGCACAAAATTAAAAAGGGAACTTGAGGCGTTTAGTTTCAGAAACAAGAAACAACTGATCTTTATTTGAAAAATAGAATACAAAGTACAACAGAAATGACGGAAGCAGAGCTTCCAGTAAACAGGCAAAACAAATCTGACACAAGGGTAAAAAAAAAAACAATAACAACAACAATAAAAATAAAGTGTCACTTAGCTTCTCAAGAGAATCGGGCGAGCACTGGGCAGTAAAGGCTCAAGACTGAACACACTAGCTTTTTACACACAAACTTTTATAGGGCAAAACACAGGTGTTGCTAATCTAGCTTGAGTGGTGGCACACAGTAGATGGGAAGAGGAGGAATACAGCTTAATTAATTTTTACATAGATGACTTTAATACATAAAATAAGTAAGCTGACCAAAGCTCTTACGGGGAGAAGACTTTATCGAAGACAATGAATAGTGCAGTTCCTCAGCAGCGATGTTAACTCATTGGTAACTTAACCCAAAGTGAGACATTACTTTATAACAAAGGATGTAACCCTCGGAGATCGGCCTACTTCTTTGGTTGGGTCACAACTCTTGAGTTCCTGTAGGTCATTTGGTTCACACCTTTTCAGATGCAAATACTTGTTTGCATATGAAACAAGTCATACAATCTATCAACATATAGAGTTATTTTGGGTTCTTGAAGCCCTGCAGGTGTTCAAAGGGTTTCATCTTCAGAAAACTTGATATGTATTCAAAAGTTCACACTTGTCCTGGTAAGAAACTCTGGTTATTTATAGTGAGTCAGGAATCATCTGATTGGTAAATCATGTGTTGGCTAATGCAGGACCAGCCGTAGACAATCATAAGCATGTGATCCTCTCAAAAGAAGTATAAATAAACTTCACTTGGATGGACAGCCAAACTACATGAAAAAGCTGCCGTTTTGAATATACCAGTGTTTGTGTGGAAAAGGCCTCAATTTTGGGGACTCTGCTATCCAATGTGAAGCTTTAGGTGAGTGTTGAGGCTTCTTTTATGTTTAAAGCCCTTTCCACATTCACTGCATCTAAAAGGGTCCTCTCCTGAGTTAATCTTCCTGATGTGTTTCCTGATGGAGTCTTTGCGTGTGAGACTCTTTTCACACTGATCACATGTCAACACTATGGTTCCAGTGTGACCATTCATGTGATTCTTGAGGCTAGCTTTGGTTGTGAAGCGCTTTCCACACTGAACACATGTAAACGGCTTCTCTTCAGTGTGAGTTTTCATGTGGTGTTTGAGTGTGCTTTTATGTGGGAAAGTTTTCCCACACTCTGTGCATCTGTAAGGTTTCTCTCCAGTATGAATCCTCATGTGGTTGTCAAGACTTGTTTTTTGAGTAAACCTTTTCCCACACTGTGTGCATGTGTGAGGTTTTTTTCCAGTGTGAATCCTCATGTGGATGTTAAGGTCATGTTTTTGAGAAAAATGTTTCCCACATTGTGTGCAAATAAAACTTCTGTCTCCAGTGTGTGTTCTCATGTGGACTTCAAGGGTGCCATTTTGCTTAAAACTCTTTCCACACTGGATGCAAGAGTAAGGCCTCTCCCCAGTGTGAATTCTCATGTGCGCTGCAAAGTTTCCTGATTGGTAGAAGCTTTTACCACACTGTTGGCATGTGTACGGCCTCTCTCCAGTGTGAATTCTCATGTGCACTGCAAAGTTTCCTGGATGATAGAAGCTTTTTTTACACTGTTGGCATGTGTATGGCCTCTCTCCAGTGTGAATTCTCATGTGGGTTGTAAAGCCTTGTTTATAAGTAAAACTCTTTCCACACTGTTCGCAGGTGTAAGGCCTCTCCTTAGTGTGAACTCTCATGTGAACATCAAGGTTTGCCTTTTGACTGAAACTCTTTCCACACTGTTTACAGCTGAAAGGCTTCTCTCCAGTGTGAATTCTCATGTGGTTTTCAAAGCCTTGTATGTGACCAAAACTCTTTCCACACTGTTCGCAGGTGTAAGGTTTCTCCCTAGTGTGAACTCTCATGTGAACATCAAGGTTTGACTTCTGACTGAAACTCTTTCTACTCTGTTTACTGCTGAAATTACACGCAGATTTGGATTTCCGAGGTCTTCCACGTGATGAAGTCTTTTTATTCAGTGTGGGTTTTTCATCAGTCGTTATTTCTTGGGGTTTCTCTTCCATTTCATTCTGTTGATGAGTCTCTTCTTTCAACACCATCAGGTCTAAAAAAACAACAACAAAAACACTGTTAACTTTAGTACGAAGACACAAAGTGACAAGCAAAAGATGGATGTTTCATCCAGATATTAAAATGACCTTACCATTTACTCTGCATCATGTGGTTTTAAACATTTTCTTTCTTATGGAACACAAAGTAAGCCAGCATTTTTTCACAATATCTTCTTTTGTGTTCAATAGAATCCAGAAACTCGTAAAGGTTTAAAACCACATGTAAAACATGAGAGTAAAATGGTATCCCTTTAAAAGGTTTCTTTTATGAACCTTTTTTTACAAGATGTAAAATACGTCTTTGGTGTTCTCAGAATGTGTCTGAGGTTTTAGTTCAAAATCAGATTATATACCTTGAAGAAAATATAATTGTGGCGGTCAGAGGAAAACCAAGCTCTTTTTGTGCCTGTGGCTTTAAATGCAGATGATCAAATGCACTCATTCTAGATTATTCATGTTGTGTTGCCTCATGTGCATCTTCCACTGGATTTAAACATTTGTAACTTGCTTTGAAAACCTGATTGAGACAAATACTACATGTTTATAGCAAGTACACATAACTTACGCCTATATTTCTGAGTTTGCATTATTGTAGATAAATTATGTTATATAACAAATGTTTCCCAGTACTGGGTTGCAGTTGGAAGGGCATCCACAGTTTAAAATAAATGCTGGAGAAGTTAGTTGTTCATTCCGCTGTTGCGACCCCTAATGAATAAAGGGATTAAGCCGAAGGAAAATGAATGAATGAGCACATGCAAATGCTTAATGCCATGTTTGCTGTAAACTGGAGTGATGATGAGATGGCAAGATGACATACTTTAATACTTGATTTCATTCATTTCAAAAGTTTACACTTAACGAGCCTGGGGCTCCCATTTGCAAGACGAAAGGGGAGTTCTCGAGAACTCTTCTGTAGTAGCAAATGAACAGAAGGTGATTGCTCTTCAGAGATAACTACTTACTAGGAGTATGTCTATGGTGCCGATTTGGATTAGTCAAGTAACTTAAGTTGCATGTTTTTAGACAGTGGAAAGAAAACCCATGTGAGCACCAGGAGAATGTGTAAACTCTGCACAGAAACGTCATGAGGCAACAGTGCCACCCTTCTAGGAAAGGAGGAGTAGGGGTGGAAGGGGGATTCTTCGAAACGAAGATGGCTGTGATATGGAACTCAGGGTATTTATAGTGATTTAGGAATCGTCTGATTGGTAAATCATAAATTGAGTAATGCGAAACCAGCTGCAAGTAATCATAAGCATGTGATCCTCGAAATTAATTTATAAATAAACTTCACTTGTACTTGTCTTTGTTTTCTTGGCTTTGTGCATGTCCTGATACTTAGATGAAGACCTACATAAAGACATTTAGATAAGACATTAAGATATTTTATATACCCGACAAGATGCAGAAATGCCATCTAAAAAATGCCATCTACAGTTTGTCCCATCAGTGACAGTGACAACGTAAATATACAAAATAATAATGTTAACCCGGGGATTTGTGACCTACACACGACTTTCAGAGTGCATCTGAGTTACAGAGAAGTGCAGAGGTTTTTTCTCTTATACGACCTGCGATATCAAACATTTCACCATCATTAAACACACTGTCTTTCTCCCCTGTGTGTGTGTTTGTTTTTCCTCTGTCAGAAGCGCGTGCACAAAAGGCAACTCCCATTTTTATTCAAACCCTGCCCATTTTACCTCCACCGACACTCCCACCCAAATAGAGCAAGACACACCCACTTTCCTGACTTTTTTCAAACTAGAGGTATGCAAACATCCTGCTGAAATGGGGGGTTTCATGGCCCTTTAAAGTTACTAGTGACTCGAATAAGCATGGATGGTTCAAGTAGCAGCTCCAGCGATGAATAAATGATTATTGTTCACAGAGCAATAAACCGCTCTACGTTGATATCGCCTCTGTGCATCTTCTTCAATGTGTGCTCCCATTGACAGTTTTGCGCTTGAGCGCCTCCAAGTGCTGTTTACTGTAACTTCAGCAGCTCCGTGCACATGAACAAAAGTGCCAACCTGATTAGTTAAGGTTTTAACGCCGCGCATCAAATAAAAAAACGAGCACGAGGCGTTTCTTTAAAAATTCTGCTTTTTTATGCCTGGCGATTTGCGTGTGGTGTGCACCATCACATTGATGCCCTTTTATATAGTCACAAGGTGTTAAATGTCGACAGAAAACACAGAAAATATCTTTGTGTGCGCGGGCCTTTACACTGTTTTCAGGATCTAAAAATTCATTCTGTAAAAATAGTATATGGTCAATACTGACGAACTTCACACTCAAATGTTTGCATATCATCAGCATGCTGTAATCCATTTCTTAAACTGCAAAAGTCATTTTTAAACTAGTATGTTGGCCAGTTGTAGTCAGTGCAATGCTAAACGTTATTGTTCCACTATAATTAGTTTTGTTTTATGTCGTCCTAAAACATCATCATATAATTTAGAATACTGTAGTTCAATGTTTTAAAATAATAATTATTTTTTGTGTCCATTTTATCCAGCATATTTAAAATTAGGGCATCCACGTTTTCTGACATACTTTAAACCAGGGTTAAAATTTTTGACTCAAGAAGGGCTAAAGTATAAGGTATTTTTCAAATACCCCAGATGGAAAAGGGTTTTATTTGCCATATCTATAATTATATTATATATAAAAATAAATAAATACATTTAATAATACAATAATAAATTAATATAAAAACACAGTATTTTATATATTTCTTAGCAAAAAAAAAATTATATTGTGTAAAAACAAGCTTTCCTTGTATCCGTACACTTTTTCCAACCTAAACTTTTTTTAAATGTAAAAAATAATTAAAAAAATACACAAAGGTTTTAAATGTTTTAAAAACTATAATTAACTAAATCTTTGCACAATAATCTGTCCAGGTCGATGTCCTCAGCAGTAAATACAAGGAGCACATTTATACAAATATTATTGTAAGGAAAATAATTAAACCATTATGATAAACCGAGTTAAAATGACAATTTTGAATAAAAAGTTTTATTGAGATAGATTGCTGGTGATTGAATGGGTTTTGGCCAGACTGGGTAGCAAAACATGAAGAAAGGAAAATTAAGACTTGTTTAAAAAGACTTAAGACCTACAACACAATATTTCAGTAAATTTAAGAGTTTTTAAGGCATTTTTAGATTTAGATTTTGGAATTTAAGACATTTTAAGACCCTGCGAAAAACTCTGTTTAAACACAATAGCCCTGGTAATTAGTTATTATAATAATGATTTAATTCTAACTCTAGCCAAAACTATCACTGTAATAGCAGATATCTTCTATGAGAATACTGTAGGTCAAATAGCGTCAGCTCAGTTAAACTTTTTTAATTGATTGTTTTTATTTATTTTATATAGTACCCGTGCTCTAGGATGCTTTACAAACAGTAGGAGAACAAGAAAAGCAATAACCTTAAGAAGGTAGAGAAAATAGGAGACTAATATTACATAAAATGACAAAAAACATAAGAACAAGTAACAAGAAAGAAACTCATTCTGTCTTTTAATGAGTGCTTTTGTGCATTTAAGAGAACTAGGCAGCACACTCAGGGCTGCAAGATGGATTTAGTATTCTTATTATTAAAATATATCTGAATGAGGATCAAATGACTGCGTCGGTCTTTGAGAATAAAAGTCAACCTGTTTGTTCCTGCAGATCTTCCTGTTTGACTGTGAATGTTTCTTCAATCTTCAGGTCTTCACTTTCTACTTTAATAAACGCCATTTTTATAACAGTGTGTAGATCAGTCGCTTCAGCAGGAGTTTTTCTCTGAGTTTGGACACTTTATCCTGTTTAAAATGAGCAAAACAATGAACAGAAATAAGATAACTTCTCTTCAACACTTGCTTCAAATGAGCAGATTAAAGCTAGTACTTTATTTCTTACATATATTGATGTAAATTTAGAATGGACTAACATTAAATTAGACCTTCATTAAAACATTTATTACACACTGTTACATCTCTGTAACATTTTTTAAACCTTATTCAGGGGTCCGTTCTTCGTACCTCGCTTAAATGATCTAAGATGATTTGGCAGATCCTGGATCTTTTAATCTTGATAACTGATCTCTCGCTAATTTGGTTCTCCAAACAAGTTCGCGAATCAGATTAGAATGTCTGGATGAACTGATCTAAGATCGCTGCGTGTGTTGTGAAGGACAGATCTATCGATCCTCGAAATCATGATCAGCAATGCAACGATTGGCTGACGGCACAGCAGCGTAATGACATCATCTGATTAATATTCAATTATCCATGTGAGCAAAATTACATCAAATTAGCAGTAAACGGCTTGTTAAATATGGCACGCAGTAACTTCACATTTGTTGTGAGCTGCAGGCTTTACACTTTCATTTGTCAAGACAAGAGTATTCATCATGTATTTCAATGCAAATCAATGTATTTAGTTCTTCATTTAGAAAAGATTTTCTTTATTATAGTAGCCGTTTTTTAATCGGTGTAAAGAATAACTGGTTGTTTCCAAAAGCATTTTGATATCGGTAAAGGCGTCTGCAACTTTTGTGAAGCATCACTGGCATATTAACTGTCAAAACATGTTTATGACTGCATAAATGTATTATTGCTTTTAAAAAAAGTCACATATTGTGCATTTCTATTATACACAATTTGTACTAAAGCGATCTAAAAAGTTCATATCAATACGTTTTCTCTTTGCACCACCAGGTGGCAGTCTTTGTACTTTCATTTCGAGGGTGCAGATTGCATACGTTTTATTAATATGTATAACTTTATTTATTTTATTAATGACTATAACTTTTATATATATAGTTAAAAAATATTTACTATTTTCCCAAGTGTATATAACTTTTACTGTAAGAAAATATCAGAACTCGGTACATACTTTCTGTATTATCTTTGCTTGAACTGAGCCGATCTAATCCTGTTTATATGATATGAACCTGCTCCCGATCAGGTTTGACCTAGCAGATCTGTTGCCATGACAACAACTCTCGGATCAGCTTTGAAGAACGAAACGATCCTGGATCGTGTCAAATCGTCAATATCCAAATCCAGCTAACTGAGTAATCCACGTACGAAGAACAGACCCCAGGTATGTTCTTAATCGTGTTGTTTGTTTCATTTACTTTATTGTCTGCTTACAGCAACGTGTAAATAGAGGTAAAATTGGTTTTATAATTGCAAATTCAGACTTTCCCCTTAATAATGTAATTTCATAAAAGTATTATTTGCAAACTCTAAATACTGAAATCATATTAGCAGCCAATGACTATCAAAGTACAACATTGTTCACAGTCAAATAAACAGTGCTAATGTTGTTTTCAAGTTACACTTGCATGCTAATTCAGATCGAATATTTAAAGTAACATTGTGTACAATATAGAGACTTCTAAATGAACGAATGTGTAACTATAAAACCAACTTTACCTCTATAACGTGTAGCACTTTTTAGCACAAGACAAATTTCCTTTCAGGAACAAAAAGTTTATCCTATCTTTATTCAAACAATAGTCCTCATTACTGTGAGTGAAATAGTACTTCGTTGTATAAAATGTTAAAATAATATTGTCAACAACAGGTACATAATTTAGCACTGAATGAAAAAAAAACAAACCTTAATCAATCGCTTTATAAAAGCGTAAACGCTTTAAAACAAACCTTTCTTCAGTTAAATCACAGCGCGGCGCATGCTTATGACGTCACACACCACGCCAAAATAAAAGTCTTTTTTTTAACTTACTGTTGCAGTCATGACTTATTGACACATTTCTCCCTCCACTTTCTGACATACACAGACACACATATTTGGAGTTAATCAAACCCTATACTCTAAACATTTTAAAACAATTTAAAAAATGTTTAATCACTAAGTAAAAGTTATTAAAGCAGAAAATCTCAACGTTCTAAAATGTATAAAAAATAATCAGATGGGTGTTTTGAGCTGAAACTTTACAGACGTAAAAGACTTATCTTAAATTATGAAAGGGGGGTAAAATAGGTGCTCTTCAAGTAAAAACTATTCATTACTACTACATGTTTTAACTAGTCATTCCGTATAATATATATATATTTTCTCTGCGTTTGGACACTTACCTGTAAAAATTAACAAAGCAATAAAAAATGCCCTGTTTAAAGAGCCCATATTATGGGTTTTTGAAAATTCCCCTCCATGTAGTGTGTAACACAGCTCTAAGTGAAGTGAAGTATCCAGCTAAGGCTTAAATCTGTAAGAATACAGTGTTTAAAACTGTTGATTCATCTATAAAAGAGTTGACTCATAGTGCTTCGAACGAGTCGCCTTGATACCGACTCATTAGGTGTTTCGCCATGACGTACGAACGAAACCAAGTTATTCACGTGCACGCGCAAACCCGGGAGATTTCAAACCTGAGGCCCCACCCTCTGACGCAGAAACCCAGACACACACACACCCACAAACACACACACACACACACAAACATGCCGGTTGATTGAAGTCACACTGCAGATGGATATATTGAGTCTCTACCCAAAGATGAAACCTCAGCATTATAACCAAGCAGTTGGAAACTTCTGGAAGCTACATGCTACAAAGAATACTTCATCTGAGTTTGTTAAAGGAAGGATCAGTAAAGAGTAACTGATGGACGTCAGGATGGGTTTCTTCCATTTCTCTAGTGTAAGTACGTGCGGTTAAAGTTGTTGCCTCGTTTACTCTAGCTTGCAAATGTATTTAGTTGTGATTTGTTACTTGTAACCGCGTGTACTGTATCAGGTTAACTGGATATATTATCTTATCGCGTGCAAAGTCACGTTAAAAACGCGACGCGTGCTGCTTTGTCATTGGAGCTCCGTGCTAGAGTTCTGCTCCCGCGATTTATTCGGAAATTTATTCCCGCGCCGCAGAAATCTGGCGCGGGGACAGCCGCGGGAATAAATTTCCGAATAAATCGCGGGAGCGGTCGGTAACGGGTTTAATTTGGGACGGGAGCGGGCTGTCTAGCAATATCACGGATATTGCTATGCGAATTAGAAAGAGAGAGTCTGCTTGGTATGAGAGAGCGTATGAGAGAGAGCGAGAGAGAGCGAACGAACGAACGAACGAGCTCTGTGTGCTTTGTGCTGTGTATATGTGTCTATACAGACAGCTTGGCTGTCTGGACTGTATACTGGGTGATTTTTGGTTGTGTTCTCCGCTCTAGCGGGACCGGGCGCGGCGGGCAGAAAACGGAGCGGGTTCTCAGGCTAAAACCTGGCGGGCGCGGGCGGAAGCGGGAGCGTTGTCATCCGGAGGTGTGTGTGTGTTTTTGTGTGTGTGTGGTATGGCGAGTACACGACTGTCTCCTTCGTTCGGTTATCCGTGGCACTATCCACTCGCCATAGTGTGGCAGCTAAAATTCACGCCTACACTATCGAGCGTGTATGAACTGTGATTACTTTTTAAATTGCTGATTCGCTATTGGCCATTTCCCTCTCTGACTGAAGGCAGTCGACCAATCGCGACAGACTGTCATCGGTCCAATCAGCGCAGATTAGCTCCGCGCTAAGGAGGGGTTTGGGAACAAATGAATCACTGGACGATTCATACAGGAGTCGCTGGGATAATTAGGTAAAAATAAATGCAGATTATAAGACCATGAAAGTGTTTTTTGACCTTGCATGCATATTAGACTGTTGTTGGAGACCCTTACAACCAAGATATGACCCTATTTCATGTATAATATGGGCTCTTTAAAATAAATAAAACAATGAACAAAAAACAAAATAACTTCTCTTCAACATTTGCTTCAACAGTTTCTTTATATGAGAGTAATTAACAAAAATAAATCAGGTAAGTGTGAGCAAGAAACAATAAATAAATAAGCTGATTAAAACTAGTAACATTATTCTATTTCTTATATATAGTGATGTATATTTAGAATAGAATGACATTATGCAATTTAAAAAATTCAACCTTCATTAAAACACTTATTACACACTTACATGTTGCTTTATTTAAACTTTAACAAAGTTTTTTAACAAAAGTTAAAGTTATTTAAACTTTAAACTTTTGTCTGCTTACAGCAACGTTGTAGCACTCTTTTGCACAAGACAAGAATTTCTTCTCGGGGACAAATAAAGTTTATCCTATCTTATTCAAACAATAGACCTTATTGTGAGTAAAATACTACTTCTTTGTATAAAGGGTTAAAATAATATTGTCAACAGCAGGTACATCTAGCATGAAATTAACAACCTGAAATTTTAATCAGTCGGTTTACATCCGTGTACAAGCTTTAAAACAAACCTTTCTCCAGTTGAATCACAGTGCGGGAGCGGCGCAGCTATATGACCACGCCAAAATAAAAGTCTTTTTTTGTTTAGCTTTTTCCCCTACTTACTCTTTGTCATGAATTATTGATACATTTTCCACTTTATACTTTATCTGCTTTCTGTTTTGTATTTGTAAGACCATCAATCTTTATGTTAATTGAAAAAAAGCATTTACCCCCCAGATCTTCACCTTCAGGTAGGTTGGTGAGAGGTTGCATTTTCTTTAAACGATTGCATTTCTTTATCCATAGCTTTAACTCATTCACTTGCATTCAACTGATGTTGCCACCTCTTTGTATGTTTGAATGGGGAAACATCAAATTCTTTAAAACTGCCTGCCAAGTTCCAACCTATATATGTAATAGGTTGAAACTTAACTAGGTTAACTTGGGTTGAAACTGGGCTACAGTCCATTTGTCAGGATAAAAACAATATTTATAACCAAATAAACAAACAAACAAAAAACTAAATAAAAAGTTGTAAAGAAGCTTTTAAAAATGACTGAAGAACTTTAATACAACGTTGAACAGTGCATCCACGCATGTTTAGATTTTACATTTTATAATGTCAGCATTCAGTTATTATTTGAGTGTAAATTCAGAATGTGCAACTCACCTTTCCAGTCTTCAATGAATAAGTGGGATGAAAAAGTGGCCTCAGTGGGTTTTTCTTTGTAGGTTGTTGTTGGTAATAATCCCAATGTTGGAATCAACAATCGTAGTTTGTCCTCCAAAGTTGTTCTCTTTACTTAGCAAAATAAGCCAATGAAGTTACAGGATCTGGAATGTGATTGGATAAGGGTGATGTATTGGGAAAATAAGTTGACTTTAGCCATCTTCATTTGATTTGTTGCTTTTGTTTTATAGGACTATTGATGGAAGCTTATTTTTAGTTTGGCTGCTGCATGTTGTAGATAATATTGACACACTTATGTTGAGGTATTTTGATTTGAAAGACATTTCAATTTATTTTTTCCCAAGCCTGGTTATAAAGTAATGCAAGAGTCGTGTGTTGTTTTTGTAGAAGCTTCTCAGAGTTGCTTGGCTGAAGTCTTTGTGTAAAGATGCAAATGACCATTGAAGACTCAAGCCGCACTGATGTCTCAATACACACAACTACATTCACTTATATAATAGTCATGTAAGTCTTATATTATTATACAGTGATATATTATCATTTGTTGAAAGAAACAATTTCTGAACTTCACATTGAGGTTTTATTTGTCAAGTTTAGTCAATATATTGACATGAGCTAACTATTAGCATTTTTTTGTCATTTATTTATCACTGAACTTGTTCTTTATGTGAGTTAGAGTCCTTTATTTCTCTTAAAGCACATGCAGCTCTTTACTGGTTTCTGTAAGACAGTCAACACACTCTTAACATGTCAATTATTTCTTTCCAAAAGTGTCTTTACATTTTAAATTTTTTTACTTCACAATCAAAATGTAACTTGTTTCTGTGCCAATTTTGTTTTCTTTCCTTCGTCTTTTAGTTGAACAGAACATGTGTGAGCAGCTCAGCTCTCTCGAAAGCCTCTTATTCACCTGGTATGTAACAAAGATGTTTTTCCCTCTGATTATCACTTGTGTTTGTGCATACAAATATGCATAGACATTTACAAGAGAATATAAAAGATACTCTTTGACAAAACCTTTTCCTTTTAACACAGTAAAGCTATCACATACTGTCCATTTTTGCTACTTTTGTCCTTTGTAGATAATTGTTTGTACATTAATCACAAATGGATGAGACACACTGTAACTTCAAACTCATTTGTGTTAATTCCAGGTGCTGTGAAATGTTATGTTGTAACGTCATTATGTGACCATAGCAGGACCAAAACAGAACGTCCTCCTAAAGTCCTATTCGAAACGTTATTATATGACTAAAGGAGGACCATGTGGAAACGTTCTGTAAATGTTAGAAAGGTTCTCTTTGTAACGTTATTAAATGACCATAGAATGGCCAAAACAGAACATCCTCCTTAAGTCATACTGGTAACGTTATTTTAAGACTAAAAGAGAACGTTTTAAGAACATCCCTAATGTTCTGTAAAGGTTCTGGATTTTTATTACCTTTAAGGAACTTTCAGGGAACGTTGCGCAAGGTCGCTCGAACGTCACCTCCTACCTGGGAATATCATCACGAGTAGCAGTGCTATCAGTTTTTGTATTTCTATTTGTTGTGATGGCCTGTTGTTATTGCAATAAAAATAAATAAATAAAAAAAGCAGTGCAATGTGGCTGTATATCAGCAGTGGTGGAATGCGTGTGTTATAGTGTGCACTAGGCACTCGAGAGCGATTGTCCCTCTACCTGTTGTTTTAATCCCCTGAGAACTTTGGTCATCTTCAGAACGCAAATGAAGACACTTTAGATGAAATCAGAGAGCTCCTTCATCTGTCATACACCGCAAGAGTCCCGAGATGCTCAAAGTCCAGAAAAGGAACCAAAAACATTGACTTTGACTGTGACTTTAGTGGTTCAATTGTAATCGAGTTCCAAGAACATTTTGAGTGCCAGAAAATGTTGAAAAAAGCAACCATGCCCAAAGTAGGCGCTGTTGAACCATATAGTGGCTGCTTTTTGACCCTGTAGCCTATTCTCTTCATTTCCATTCAGCAGAAGAAACTCACACAGGTTTGGAACAAGTAGAAGATGAGTAAATGTCAGAATTGTAATTTTTATGTGAACTACCCCTTTAATGCTTCTGTAAATTAAATATTTTACTGAAGAAACTGCTAAAGAATGGCAGGAAATGTGGAACAGATTAGAAGAAACGACAATTCATATGAAACAATAAGAAACCCTATATAGGCCTATGAAGTTGTAAAAATAGAAAAGAAAATAAGGGGTCATAATTATGAGGATGAGATTTGGACTCGGATATTAATAGGAAGTAATGTGTAGTAGACATGCAAGTCATCATGAACTGGATTAAAAAAAAGTTTCTCAAAATTGTCTTAAAATGTTTAGATTAAAATTTTTTGATCAACTTTAAATACTGAAGTGTGTGTTTGTGTGTGTGAGAGAGATCTAATCTATTTTTAAATCTTTTTTTATTAATCTTTTTATTTTTATTAATTTATTTTTAATTTCATTAATCTATTTTTATTTTATTTATTTCTGTGTTTTCTCTGTATTATATTTTATATCCATATTTTTTTGCACTACTGCCCTTTTTTCACTGTCTTGTTTGTACACAGCGACGCTGCACTGCTTTGGCAATATGAATGTACAGTTATTTGTCATGCCAAAAAAGCACCTAAAATGTGTAATGTGTGTGTGAGAGAGAGAGAGAGAGAGAGAGAGAGAGAGAGAGAGAGAGAGAGAGAGAGAGAGAGAGAGAGAGAGACTCTCTGGGGACCCACATTTAAATTAAACTATGAATCTTGGGAAAAAACTCCAGTTGAAATCTTTCATCTGGAGTTTTGCAAAAACATCCTCGGAGTTTACAGAAGCACACCCAGCCTTGGTTGCAGAGCAGAACTAGGCAGGTTCCCTCTGCTCTCAGAAATCCAGAAGAGAGCAGGGAAGTTCTGGCTCCATCTGTCAGACTACAGCCCAGAGAGCTACCATCAGCAAGCCCTCATATATAGAAATGCACATCCGGCCAGCGACCCCATGCACTATCTGGTGGAAAAACACCAACTAAATTCACAAACCCTGTCCCAACATATAAAGACTAAAGAAATAGAAAAGATTACCCAGGAGGAATATAAAGTCAATTGGCAAAATAAAATACAACAAATAAAAAAGTTAGCATGCTTCAACCAGATTAAACCTGGTTATGAACTGGCCCCGTATCTGACCAACATTAAGAGCCCCAGTCAGAGAAAGCTGCTGAACCGGTACCGTCTGAGTGGACACAGTCTGAGTGTGGAGACGGGCCGACACAAGCGCAGCTGGAGGAGCCCAGAGCTCAGACTGTCCACACTGCCCTGCTGAAGTTGTGGAGGATGAGCTGCATTTCCTCACTCACTGCAGCAAATATCAGAGCATCAGAGAAGCTTACTTCACACAAATGTCTCTGATTCTACCACAATTCCAGCAAGCCACAAATACGGTGAAACTCCATTATATTTTGGGAGAAAATGAAAAGTGTCTCCACCTAGCAGCACAGTACGTGTCCTCATGCCACCATATGAGAGAAAAAGGCTGAACCCCCTTATCCCTTATTAAAGCTCTCTGTCCTTACCATTTATTATTATATACTTTTGTTAATCTTTTTTTTATTAACTTGTTTATTGTGACAACATATATGTATAATATAACGATATGTATATGTGTTTGTTTATTATTACTTATATTTCTTTTATCTATATGAATGTTCTGTATTTTGTTATTGCTTTGGCAACATTGTGATTTGTTTTACAGTCATGCCAATAAAGCTCTTTGAATTTGAGATAGAGAGAGAGAAAGAGAGAGCAGAAATAGTATAAAGTAAAAAACATGGGAGAAATGTATCAATAAGTCATGACTGGAACAGTAATTGGCAAAAAAGCGAAACAAAATAAAGACTTTTATTTTGTCGTGACGTGTGACGTCATCAGGCGGCGCCGCTTTAGCGCTGCGATTCAACTGGAGAAAGGTTTGTGTTTTTAAATGTTTACGGATATAGCCTGTTATATATTTACGAGGCAAACACACAGAAATGTCATATACATAGCCCGATTTAATTAAAGTTCCAGAATTTTTTTTAATCCGATGCTAAGTTATGTACCTGCTTTTGACAATAATATTTAAACCCTTTATACAACGTAGTAATATTTTATTATCAGTAGCCGAGGGCTATTGTTTGAAACCGAAAAGAGTTTAATAGGTGTTTTAAAGCAGGGTTTCTCAAACTTTTCTGATAAGAGGTAAAGTTGGTTTTATATTCACACATTTGTTCATTTAGAAGTCTATATATTGTTTACCATGTTACTTTGAATATTCGATTGGAATTAGCATGCAAACATGACTTGAAAACAGCATTAACACTGTTTATTTGACTGTGAACAATGTTGTATTTTGATAGTCATTTGCTGCTAATATGATTTTACTGTTTAGAGTTTGCAAATAATACTTTTATGAAATTATATTATTAAGGGGAAAGTCTGAATGTGTGAATATAAAACGAACTTTACTTCTATGAATATTCGATTGGAATTAGCATGCAAACATGACTTGAAAACAGCA